TTATGATTCTTTGTCTCAGTCCTATCTTGCATTTGTTTCTTTGCCTTCTGTATCTATACTTCAAGATTGGAAAGAGGCTCTAGCTAATCCTAAGTGGAGAGAAGCTATAATAGAGGAAATGCAAGACTTGAAAAAGAATGACACATGGGAGCTTATTTCTATCCCTCTAGAAGCACAGTCTATAGGGTATAGATAGGTGTTTACTGTAAAACAACAAGCTGATGGAACTGTCGAGAGGTACAAAGCTAGTTTGGTTGCTAAGGGATTTACATAGACATATGACATTAATTATCAAGAGACTTTTGTTCCTGTGACAAAGATGAACTCCATACATGCACTTATTTCTTGTGCAGCTAATTTGGGGTGGACTTTGCAGCAATTAGATGTGAAAAATACTTTTTTTCACGGATATTTGGAGGATGTGTACATGGAGATTCCTCCAGGTTTTTCATCTAAAATGACTAAAAGAAAGGTGTGTAAATTTAAGAAGTCCCTTTATGGATTGAAGCAATTCCCCAGGGCCTAGTTTGACAGGTTTCTTAAAGTTATGCTAAAGTTTGGATATAAACAAAGTCAGGCTAATCATACCATGTTCGTCAGACTGGTGGATGGCAAGATCACTATTCTTATTGTGTATGTGGAAGACATAGTGATAACTGGAAATGATGAGAATGAGTCCACCAAACTAAAGGCACAGTTAGCTAAGGAATTTAAAATCAAAGACTTTGGTCCATTGAGACACTTCCTTGGGATTGAAGTTGTCTGGTCGAACGACAACATTTTTATTTCCTAGAGAAAATATGTTTTTGACCTTCTAGAAGAAACAGGGATGTTAGGATGCAAACCTACCGATTCTCCTAATGAAGTCAACCATCGACTAAATAGTGGTATTGGTAAGGTAGTAGAAAAGGAGAGATACCAGAGATTAGTGGGGAGATTAATCTATCATATACCCGATCGGATATTGCTTATGTAGTGAGTGTTGTTAGTCAACTCATGCATGATTATCGAGCATCCCATCTTGAAGCTGTTTATCGCATTTTGAGATACCTTAAGTCAGCTCCCGGAAAGGGATCTTGTTCTCCAATAATGGCCATTTGAAACTCGAAGCATTTAGTGATGCAAACTGGGCAGAGTCAGTGGATGATAGAATATTAACTTTGGGCTACTGTACTTTGATTGGAGGTAATCTGGTCACATGGCACAGCAAGAAGCAAGTAGTGGTTGCCATATCTACTGCAAAGGCAAAATACAGAGCTATGACTCATGGAATTTGTGAGCTTTTGTGGCTCCAAACATTACTAGGATAGCTGGGTTTTTTCTGATGATAGACCTATGAAGTTATACCGTGAAAACAAAGCTGCTATCGACATTACCCACAATCCAATTCAACATGATAGAACAAAAAAAGTTGAAATTAACTAGCATTTTATTAAGAAGAAGTTAAATAGTCATTTGATTTGCATGCCTTTTGAGAAATCAGAGAATTAGTTAGCTGATATCTTCACAATGGGGCTTCGTAGCAAAGTTTTTCACCCCATCATTTCCAAGTTGGGCATGAGAGATATCTACACCAACTTGAGAGGGAGTGTTGCGTTATGCATTTATATTAGAATAAGAGTAGTTTAGTATTTTGCACTATATGACTATATATATGTTGGTGTAGTTGTTTAACCTAATATAAGATACACTTTTTCTAATCTCTTTCTCTCTTCTTCCCTCTTATTCTCTAAAACCCTAACTCCATACTAATTCAACCACAACTCTCACTTTATCCTAACCAGAACAAAGAGAGTAAGAACAAAAAAAGTTACAGAAACTTGTCATATGGTCAGTAACTCCAGAATCAATTATCCAAGGAGAAGAAAAGACAATGAGAGCATATGCTTGACTACCTTTATGAGCAAAGTTGGAGGAAATTGGTGCAAAGGGAGAAGCTATGATAGATGAAGTGTCAAGTCTAGTCATCAGACGTCTGAGAGTGTCTATCTCATCTTGGGAGAGAGCATTAGTATCAATAGTAGGGTTTGAGGAAGTCTCAAAATTATGAGCTTGAGACCGCACAGTACCACCACGGCAGCTCCACGCCCTCGGGTAGAACGATCATGCAACTTCCAACAATGTTCTCTAATATGGCGATCTTTTCTACATTAGTCACATTTCAACATATCACGATTACCAACATTACTCTTCCCATTAATCTTGCCGTGAATAACATTACTATCACGTGAAGCAAGAGTAACAAGCAAATCAGAACGATCCTGAATAGGAGTGTATAACATAGCACTACGCCGACCTTCCTCTTGTTGAACACAAGCATAAGCCTTTCTCGAGCTGGGAAAAGGAGATCAACCTAAGACCTGAACTTGAATCTAATCTTACTTTATGTTAACGACAGCAAGAAAATCATATACCCACATTTTCTCCATCATCTGTTGAAAGGCAACTACATCCTCAACACGAACAACTTGAAAACTTTGAAAAATAATTAAGTTCATGCCATAAATTACACAATTCTGCATAATACTCAACAAGAGATTTGTCTTTCTAATCTAACACATGAATCTTCTTCCTCAGTTCATAAGCATATGCCTCATTACCCTTCTATGAGTATGTTCAACGTCCATCAACAAGAAGGTGTGACTAAAAGAAGGTTGCATTGAATTAATTAGCCAAATCATAACAAGAGCATGCTCCGATTGCCATTTTTCCCGTGCTGGTCCATCTGTCATAAGGTCCTCAAGAGTTCCTATAATGTAAACAGTTAGGCCATGTGCAGTAATAGCCAAACTATCAAGATCGTGACCAGATCAAATAATTGGTGCCATTCAAATTAAACGAACTAATCTGAAGGGATCGGCCATCTTCAAGAATTCAAACACGACTCAAACCATTCATCTCTTTGCCACTGGAAGACTTAATATCTGCTATCATGTCCATCGAACAAGGATAATACTCCAAATTTCAAAGAACTAGTTCCATCATCTACAAACCCACAAAGCTCAGGGAATCTTTATAAGGAATAAGTTACCCACACAATAAAAACTGAAAAAGAAGACCACATCAGATCATAAAAGTGATAAAAGGGTGTAAAGTTGTTGTTTCAATAAAAAACAATGCAAGATAAAGCGTACGTTTGGCCAAAGAACCATCTAAATGGATGAAACAACCATTGGGTTAGGTCAAGAAGGTAAGTAATGTTGGACCAAAAAAAAGCTATTCTAACAATCGGATTGCATTAAACAAGTCAAAATAAGCGGATTTTGAAATATCAGACCAATAATTTCAAAAAAAATAAAGAAAAAATACATCAAATGAACTCCAAAAAAATTGAGAATTTTTCTGGGAGTATTAGAACCCTAGGTGATCATACTAAAAAAACTTCCGAATTTTTTTATTTTAGGGTTCAAAAAAAAATGAGAAAAAAAAACTATGGGAGGAAGAAAGAAAATTTACTTTACCAAAAAAAATTAAAATGAAAATAATACCAACTTACGGCGGATCGAGCTCTAATACCATGTTAAGATATAAAAAGATACATAATGAAAAGAAGTATAGAGGAAGATAGAGTTTATATGAATGTAGTCGCCGTTGAGAGAAAGTCCCAATAATCAAATTATGGTTATCTCCCTTAGCTCCATGTATTTATAATAATAAGACCGCGCGTACATAAATATCCCTCATGCCTATAAGAAATCTCTTAACAATTGTTCATCCCTCCAAATAATGAAAGTATTTGTTAATGGGGAAGGTAACAGAAGTTCAAGTTCATTACAGATTTCGTGGATGGTTTGGTTGTTTGAAGATCCCTTGGCCTTGTACTGATAAGAGAAGTTATTTTGACCGTGTTTTGTCGTATACCATGAACACATCTGACAAATCACTTCCCAGCAATATAACTGTATTTGACTCAACTGTTTAAGTTTTGATTTTTGCCTGATGCATATGAATCAGATTCCCCTTAAAATTGTAAGTTTAATTTCTTCTCCCTTCTATATTACATTTAAACCCAAGACTTTAGATTGAAACGATACCAAACTTACTAAGGATTTCCAAATCCCAAAAATAGCGTGTGTATGAGGTAAGTAATTGACGATAAATAACACAAATGCACTCATGTTATGACGGGGAGGCCCTGCATGTTCCCATACTAATGTGGTATAGACTCAAAAGATATTTTTACATACCATAACTTAACAGCTAATAATAGTTGTCCATAGGCATGTTTTCCCATTTGTTAAACAATCTAAAAAGAGAAAATAAAACCACTAGCAACCGGAGACCTTTGCTAAGTTTAACATATGGCCTTTTAGCTGAGTGATAACAACTTACTCTGATACGTTGGAATAGTCAATTTGCAATAAGTTAGTGCTTGCTTCCAATCCTCCAGTTCCATGAACACCTAAAGAAATATATCGTTTCATTCATTAGTTGCCTAAAATAACCTCAGTATTTAAAATAGGCCAGAAAACAAGTTTAGGGTCTTTAATACAAAAAAGTGCTTTAAGAAAATCCTTTACAAGATAGAGATTATTTTCCTTGTAAATGCTGCCAAGGAAAAGGCAGGCTTGATATCACATAGATGTAGGATGTAAAAGTGACACTATAAAAGGGCAACCAAACGCCCTTCGACTAAATGGTGTGTTTCACTCTTCGGCAAATAAAACGCTCTTCCAAAATTAACAGAAGGTCCCAGATAAGAGCTGGTTTTACACCAAAAGGTATTTCAACAAATATGATATCTAGAGCTTAACAGAATTAAGGAGAACAAGTCAGCAAAATTGAGCTAAGGCCTACGTATTCCGCGACATCAGTGATATTACTTCAACTATAGTGCACAGCAGTATCATATTTTCTATGAAAATGAATGATGGTAAGAAGAATAGGCAAAGGATAAACTTGCCACACACCTTTAAGAGATTTTCCCAAGTCCGCATGAGATTGATTGAAAATTGATGGTACAACTTCACTTGGAGTTTCTCAACCATCTTATACAAAGCACTAGCTTCAGTTTTATCTGAACTCTTGACTGTCAAAGAAGACTTTTTATTTTGGATCGGTGATCAAACACAACATTTTCTCAAGGAAGTTTCCAGTATACTTCCTCCAGTTACAACATCATGTTGGCCTTTTTAAATTGTTCATGTTTTTCCCAGGTTAGCACAAACATTGATAAGAACACAACCTACTTTGATCAACGGTATAAGAAGGAAAGGGAAGGGTTTCCGCAAAAACAAACTTCCATTGGAGATTACTAGTTCAGTCCAAACTTCAGAGGATACGACCAGCAGAAAGTGTCAAGGAGGCTTTCTCTGACACTACTTTCACTTCACTAGCAATATTCTTAATTTCTTCCTTGTCCCTAAAGAGTCCACACTGCTGGCATATGAATCCTTTGTTGTCTGAATATCAGAACAGGGAATGATCAGGACAGAGCTAAAGGAACGTGTGAGTCAAGAACTGGAAGCACATAGCAAACCGACATACCAGAATCACGAAGCAAGAAACCATTACATGCATTATCCTTGCATATGTAACCTTCTAGAATTGCACTTTCTTGAATATCATCAAACTGGGCCTTCAAAACAGCACTGGCAAAATTCAGTGGTAGAGAAGGTCCAGGGTGCACTTTTCATAATGAAAAAATAATCATTTTAGAAAAATGAACAGAAAAAATTACCACTTTTATGCAGTGGGGACAATTGCATGAGAAAAAGTACTGTTCTTTGAGAGCCTTTTGACGAGTTGTAGTGCTTCCAGCAGTTTCTATGTAACTTATCGTCACCTTTTAAAGAAAACAACATAAGTAACTTTAGCCTTCCCATTAATGCAAAGTAGTGCTCATATCATCACTTCTTACATCAAACAGCTCCTCATGATGCACAGGGTGGCTTAGAGAGAGAGAGGGAGAGGGTAAAACAACTGAATGAACAACAAATTTAATCATACAAGTTTTTTAGGACCAAATCATAAGATGGGAAGATGTGGGAAAAGTTTTCAGGTCTATATCATTGTTTAACAAAAGGTGACAGGCAAGTTTTTATGTGTTAGGTGAGATCAAGATCTTTTGGTGCTTGGCACTATGATTGCTTTATGCCTAAGAAGAACCAACATCTTCCCATGCCAACATATCCAGGTGAGACACGTGTGAGATCTGGGAAAGGTTTATTCAGTTGTCAAACATGCAAAAAAATGCCCAGATTTTTTGAATTTGGATTCGTTCAGACACATTCGAAACAGGTTTAGGAAACTTTTTCAAATTTTGTAGGAAATTAAAGTCAAACATGAAAAATAAAAATATTTATGTTTTAAATAAAATTAAAAAGAATAACAAAAAATAAAAGAAGATGGAGAAGAAGCAACTACCTTACAAACATTATATCAAAAGAAATCTTTTTAAAAAAAGGAAGAGGGAAAGAGAAGGGGAGGTAACTTAAGATGATATCTCCCGTGAACACAACATCCTATTGTATCTATCATCTTCCAGTGGCCTCCGATAGCAGACCATACACATATTACACGAAATTTCTTATTCTTTTTAGCTAAGTTTGTTTGTTCAATTTTGATTTCATTAATTTGTAGTGTTCTTGTTGTAAAAATGTTGTGAAGTTGAGCAGAGACTGAAAGTTTAAATAGTAGATCGATGTTGTAACTGTACTTGATTATAATTTGCAAGTTTTTTGAGAAAGATAGAAACTTATACACATATTTTTCAATGTGTGTCTCAAGTTTGTATTAGTGCTTCTTAGTTTTATGCAAGGATCTTCAGCAATTGTTTCTTTTTAGATACAGCTTTCTTGGATGCCCAGATGGGCAAACAATAATGCAAGTTTTGTTTAAACATAATGCAAGTTCCTTGGCAAATCGTGCAGTTTCAACCTTGGCGAGTTTGAAGTCATTTTAATCATTTGGAGGGACCATGAGACAAGATCTGTAGGATTGCTCATTCTTGTGTTCGTACTTTTTTCTTTTTGTGTTATGGAGTTTGTCTTGGGAAGACTCCACATTCTCCATTTACTTCCAATGTTGTCTATAAATAAAAACGACATTTGAACGGATGGTTCATTCAGGCACACTTTCCATCCTCAAAGAGGCACCCAGAATGACTTAATTTCCTCTTTAATGGGCAAGGGACAAATATTGAAATTCTGGAAGTTTATGCATGGCAAAAGAAGGTAATTCAAGCTCCCGAGGCAATTAAAATATAGTGGGCAGTAAAAATCCCCTAACAAGTGAGTTATGGAAGCAGTGTTGGGCGAAGGAAATCTAAGCTGACATGCCAAACCTGAAAGATGTTGAAAATATGAAGCATCGTCAAGGATTGGAACATTGTAGCCAATACAATCTCAATTAAGTGAAAATTTGGGCAACATTGTGATATCAACCAGAACTTACAGCAAGCAAAATGAGAAATAGACCATTTATTCAAGCTGTCAATAGTTTTAAAGTTTATAGCTCAGGCAAATGCTTCCCTGGTTGGGTAGAAGTTTTCTATTCATCTGGTTTACCAGGTCTGGCCAAGGTAAAATAGAACTATTAACAGATACAATAACTTTGTCTATCAAGGAAGACCACATGGTACTAGTTCTATGAAAACAAAACTCTCAAGTTTCAGCCCCGAAATGATTAATGCATTTTAAAAAGTGAATATAAAATGGTATCCAAAAAGGAACTAGAACCAAATGGATGGGTTTACTGATACATGGAAGCGGGTAGAAATAAGAGTATAACGAACGAAATGGGATAAAAAAACTAAACCATTGATTTGTACACAAACACCGGAAGGCTCATACTTTAACCCTGTTAATTCTGTAGAATACCAGTCCTAAAGGTTTTAGTCGATCTGTTAATTCCTAATTGAGAAGAAAAGAGACAACTCTCTCAATACTGTATTAATTCATCAAAAGTTGTTTTGCCCTAAGGCTTACATGTATTTATATAGTAGTAGAAGCTCTAGACAAACTAGGAAATTAAAATTCTAAATAATTAAGAAACCAAATAAAATAAAATCCTAATGGAATTGAAAAATAAAATAAAATAATTTCCTAGCTAAATTAAGAAATAAAATAAATATTCCAAAATTGCCTAATTGAACGGTATTGACCATGTTCAAATAAAATACCAAAATTCGGGGATCATTCTCCCCAAGTAGGATAGAATCCGTCCTCGAATTCACATTGATATTTGAGTTCTTGCTTGAATTTAGGCTTTTGACCGGCCCACCAAATCTAGGTTGGATATTTCGATTTTTCCTTGAATTTAGGCATTTAACCATCCCAAACTTCTTTTGTAAGGTTCCTGATGATCATAACTATCTTGTTTATCATGATCTAATTGAACCATAATAGATCGCTAGCTTCCTCCTCATCAAAACATTTGACCCCAAAACACTCATAAAATTTTACGTTTGGAAAGCTACCCATCTTACGGTTACAAACAAAAAAGAGACATTGTTTTGGCGGATCTACATGGACAACTCCCATGTCTTCCCCCAGGTCTTTCAATCATTTCAAATCTTCATTAATGATCAAATATTGAACCTCAAGATATTTATTATATATTAAGGTAACAAAATCGACTTTTTTGAGAATTAGAGAATAATCATCAGAGTATTCATCAAATATTTGGGGTAAATTTCAATCAACTTCTGATTGAATATAAGATGATTTGCTATCAAAAAATAATTTTTTGAACTTCATGTCAAGAACTAAAAATATTAACTAGAACGTAAGTGTGCTCTAATACCAATTGATGGAACTCTTTAGTCTACTCGTCCACTGTGCGAGACCCTTAACGTAAATTCTGCAGATTCTGATACATCGTCCTTGTGGAGATGTGGGGCAGAAACACAGCATACATGTGCTTCTTGAGTTTCTCTCATAATTCAATCTTCCTTTTGGATACCTTCAGTTGGTATCAGAACCTACACTCGTTCCTACACCACGCTGCCAAGAAGATGTCCTGCTCCTGTACAAGATGCCGCTATGCCTATCAGAGATGTGCATGAGTGTGAGGAGGTAGCCAAATTATCTTAACAGATTGCGACGTTAACCCAACAGTTTGCTGTGGTCATGAACCAACAACAAAAACGGGTTCAGTCTTTGAATCTGCACCATGTGGATGAGGAACCTACTGACGATGATCTTGATAACCCTTTTGCTGAAACCAGTCCAACAGGAAGGAGATGAGACCTATGGAAAACAACGACGGTTCAAGATGATGGCCTTAAAATTGATATCCCCAAATTCTATGGTAACTTGCAACCAGAGGAATTTCTGGATTGGATTAGTATTATGAAGGATGTGAAGTGGTTTAAGGAGGTTCCTGATAATAAACTTTGATTGATTAATATTTTCACTTTAGATTAACAAAATTTTTCGAAAAGCAGCCCTTAAGTCATGGATTAATTAGAAGTATTGCCTTAATGATTTATTGGCAAATTTGGAAAGAAAGATACAGAAGAATGTTTGATGATCGATCCTAAGTTTTTTAAAATTTCAAGTTGGAAGTATCAGGCCAAAGGATAGAGATATAGTGTCAGAACAGAGCATGCGGAAAGAGTTGACAGCTATAGCTCCTACTCCTATACAAGTTAGGGTGAAATCGATATCAAGGCAATTATGGTTACAATTATCTACGTTCCTAATTTGCCTGTGATGTAGCACCTGGCAAATCCCAAAGGTGTGTTGAAGTTAAATATTGATGGAGCATCTAAGGACAATTGTTATCCCCTTAGCTTTTGGCTCGGCATTGGCATAGGACACCCTCTCCCAAAGGCGCCCATGTCTTAGCCAAATTGGGTTTCGCTTGAGGAAGCAAACCCTTGGTACAATCAATGGGTGATTGAAGCCCCATGCATGGCTAAGAGAGGCAGCGCATGCATGGGCACGTTGGGCATGATCAGTGGGTTATTGAAGAACCATGCATGGCTGAGTGAGGCAGCTCAAGCATAGGGACGATTGGATGCAAAGTGGGTGATTGAAGCCCCATGTATGACTAGGCATAGCAACTAATACATGGACACGTGGGCACAAGCCATGGGCTAGGCATGGCTAGGCACGAAGATAAGGCTAATTAGGTGTTGTAGGCTCGCAAGGAAAATAGATGCACAACATATGAGGTGGTTGTGGCATGTGCCCTACAAATGGTGGCAATTCCAAATGGTTGCTAGCATGTGCATGGCATGCAGGGGTGGTTCTGTGTAGAATGTTGGCATGTGCACAATATGAGAGTTTTTGACATGTGCACTCCGCATGCACAACAGTTGAGGGTAGTTGCTGGCTAGGTCAGACAACAATTGCAACCGCTCCTTACCATGACCAGTAGATGTGGGAGTGGACTCAACCATCATCAACAGACTACGAGTGCTTTGTAGACAAATCTGAACTGTTTTGCAGTTGCCTAAGCGGTTGAGCTTTGTAACCGCCATTCTGTATGCCATATATAGGCATGCTTTGAGGTTTACAATGCACCAGAAAAGTATTGCGACCATGGCTGGTGGAAATGCTGCTGAATTGCGAGAACGTGTGACTAGTCTCGAAGATTTTCTAGGTGCCCCTAAAAGTGATGCTAAAACTAACAGGGTGATGTAAATTGTAATAGCTCTGATATCAAATTGATGTAGATCGTATTAGGGAAGAATTAGGGATGAGAAGGGAAGAAGAAAGGGATGAGAAAAGAAGAAGGGGATAAGAATAAAGAGAGAATTTTAGGAAAAAGATTCAATATCAATAATCAAAAATTAAAATCTAATCCCCCAACAAATATGTATCCCCTGTAGATATAAGGAATTCACAAATCCTATATAGAAAAGAAAATCACAAACCCTAAAATAAATAAATAATCAAAATGACAACTCAACTCTTAAAAGTTAAAAGAAATTACTTAAAAGTTAAATATTAAAAGTATCTAAATAACTATCATAATTAATCTATAATATTTATTCAATTCTTACACGATCCCCATCATTCTCCTCCGGTTGAAAAAAACTCTCCTCCGGAGAGTCTTTAAAATAGAAGTACCCTAAGAGAGTAGGATGAAGATAACATAATGCTTCATCTAGAATGAAAGAACCATCGACTTCTTTCCATTGACCAGGATAAATGCAAGAATGTCCATCTGTATGAACACCTGCGAATAAAATAGGATGCTCTGGAGTACCTCGATTAAGCAGCATGTCCTCCCAATAAAAATCTGGACTAATACTAACATTCAATGAAAAATTAAGCAAATAAGCATTAGATCCAAAATCAAGAATAGTAAAACAATTTCCATTAGATTTAAACAACTAGCATTCAACGGGACAAGACATCAATGACAAAGGAGTAATTATAACATCTTGATGCTGAAAATAAAAAAGTATAGATTCAATTGAACACTTGACAGTAGGCAAAGAATCAAAGTTAACAATCTCAAGTGGGGCAGAATTCGAAACAAAATCAACAATCTCAAATGAAGAAGAATGCACAACAATGTCATCATGATTCAGAATAGTAGACATAGAATAATTGTCAACAGATTGTAAAATAGATAGCTCAATATGCTCAACATCTTGCATAGAAACTAACTGAATAGATTTTTTCTCAAGTTCAATGCTTAGTGATGATTCAACTTTTGACACCGATGAGGTAGGAAACATGATAGGATCAAAAATAATCTCATCACTAGTATCAATGCTCAAACGATTGAAAGTATGTTTTGAAGGATATAAAACATGAGGGTCCAATGGAACAAAAATATGGCTATCATTATGCGGGTGTCCGACATTAGGTGAAACTGGAGACTTGTCCTTATTTTCTTCCATTTGCTGATTTGTAAGAATTTTAATCAAGTGAAAAAGTTGACTTGTTAATTCAGATAATTGATTTTTTACCCCTCTACATTCTTCACGTAATTGGCTGAGTGAATGTTTAGTATTGACAACTTCAATTTCAAAGATCTCAACCTTTTTTTCTAGGGCAATTTGGGCTTTTGAATGGTCACTAATAACATTGAAGATTGATCCAGATTGACCTTGATGACGATTTGGGAAGCACGACGTTGGTACTTGTTATGTGATCTAAGTGTCCCAAAGTAGTATTCTAGATAATCTTCATAATAAAACTCAAACTTATTATGGATTTTATGATGACTCCGAGAAGCTCTAGGAGTGAAATAGGTATAGTGATGACGTTGTGGAGAACTATGAACTTGAGACATTCTTGATGTTGGATAAGTATATGAATAGGCATCATAATGATCATATGAACTTATAATTGACTTTGAAAGATGAGAATAACATAAGAATGAGTTCAAGGATGCAATTAATAATAACGAGAAGTGCGAAAACTT